TATGAACAAATCAGTGTGTGTGATTTCTTTTAAAAGGGAGATGGGGGAGATCAGAATATCTAGAGGAGATATATCATCAACCAAAAGGAGACTAAATCTGACCCAGTCTTCCCTGATGAGCCAAGCTGAAGATATTTTCCTTGATAACATTAACAAGGAAATCTCTTTCTGCAATTCAAAATTTTTTCAGTATCCACTACAACCATTTACAGATATTTGGAGCATGAACTGTGTGGTTAACTACCATGGCTATTATTTTTGTATAGTATTTAAGTTTAGAGCTCAAAATTGTTTCTAGTCAATGGTACAATAAATTGGCTAAAATTCTGTGTCTCGACAAAATCTTGTCACATTGTGCTTATGTTTCATAAGTCTAATGTTAAAAATGACCCCTGCAGGAATCCCATCTGTAGTCATGGTTACCAATTCTGACAAATCTGCTTTAAAATTCTCAAAATTCTTCTCCATACACACACAAAAAAATCCACTTCCTAATGATGTGCCTTTTTTGGGGCACCATTTCCAGATGATATTTAGTCATATCCAAGTTTTCAACAACACAAATAGCTTTTATATATCTACTTGATTATCAACTGCAATAGAAAATGCCCAAAATAACTTGATTTTTTAAATGTCATTTATCCTGCAAGTTCCAAGCTGTATTTCCAACATACTGAGCCATAGAATTTATAGTTATTATGTTCACAAGGGCTAATTTCTGTTTAGGACCTGTTCTTTCTTTTGCTTTCAATAAACATTCTTTGTAAACTTGCCTTCGGTTAAGAAGTTGTAGTTGCCTGAGTAATTTTTGTTTTCACTTACTATGCCACGATTTCAAGGCAGCATCACTGCGATGGGTAATTTTATCTATCAACTCGACTGGGCCACAGGGTACCCAGATATTTGGTCAAACATTATTCTGGGTGTGTATGAGGGTTTTTTTTCCTGAATGAGATTAGCATTTGAATCAGTTGGCTGAGCAAAGCAGAATTAACCTCCCTAATATGGGGGGGGGGGCTTCATCCATCAGTTGGAGGCCTGAATAGAACAAGAGGTCCAATCCTTCCTCAAGTAAGGGAGGATTCCTCCTGCCTGACTGCCTTCAAGCTGGGACAATGTTTTTTGGTTTTGTTTTGTGTTTTTTCTGTCATTGGACTGAAGCTGAAATATCAGCTCTTTCTGGGTCTTGAGCCTGCAGGCCTTCAGACTGAAGTTACATCAGCAGCTCTCCTGGGTCTCCAGCTGACCACCTGCAGATTTGGGGACTTGTCAGCCTCCATAATCCCCTGAGCCTATCACTAATATGATACACACACACTTTTTTGGTTCTGTTTCTCTGGAGAACCCTGACGAATAGGACCATTTATTTTACTTGTATTAAAAAACCAATTCTGATTGAAATTTCAGTCCTCCTCTTTCCTTTCATTAAGTTTATCATCACACATCTTTCCAAATACCAGTTCTTCCTTCAATTTCTTTCCTAATGTCTTTTTTTTTTTTTTTTTAAGATTTCATCCATTTACTTGACAGAGAGAGAGACAGTGAGAGAGGGAACACAAGCAGGGGGAGTGGGAGAGGGAGAAGCAGGCTTCCCACGGAGCAGGGAGGGGGGCTCGATCCCAGGACCCTGGGATCATGACCTGAGCCGAAGGCAGACGCTTAACGGCTGAGCCACCCAGGCGCCCCTTTCCTAATGTCTTCTTCAGTTGTATTCTTTTGTCACAGGCATACTTTGCATCTTAAAGAGGTAAGAATATTCTTTATTTTCACAAGGCTAATTTTTATAATATACAAGCCTTCTCCATCTGTTTTTCATTTTCAAAATTTCGATAGAAATATAGATATTAAAAAAATTTCACTTTCATTTTAATTGCATGTTAAAAACAACAACAACAACAACTAACATTGCAAACAGGGATAGACTACCCTGGCTCAGAAGATGGATAAATTTGGAAGATATCGGGTCAGTAATGGGAGTTTGTAGGGGAAGACGAGAAGATGAGAGGAATTATCAAGAGAGGCTTCCTGGATTGGTGAGGTCTTATGGAGTCCCATTAGAATTCTAGGTTTCGCAATTAACTACTCTAGTATGTTTTATCAGGAGCTCTGGGAAAAGCTGGGCAGATTGTTCACTACACAGACTTACCAGCCATGTGGTGAATGGGAGCAAATACAAACACAAGAGGAAGGGCACCATTTTTTGATCTGCACAGACGCTCCTGTAAGTGCTCCATCATTGGGAGTAAGAGGGGGGGTTCTGTTGGGGTCGCTGGTATATCATGCCAGCACACCATATGCACAGTTCAGTGAATTTCTGGCCATGTGTTTAGATAATCGAATACATCCAACAGCTACAGTTGTGATGATGTGGGTATGAAGGTGAACAAGAGCTCATGGGTTTTTGACTGAGCACTGTCTACTTTGTGCCAGTTCTGGATATCCAAACCCCAAACCTCTGCATCTTGTTACTTTTCAATTCCATGCATCACAATCTAAATCCAGCATTCCCTCCTCCAGAAAGACATCGTTTATCTCCTCCAATTCTCCCAAACTCCCCCTCAATCTGGGAGAGAAGACCCTTTCGTATGCCGCTGACACACCTGTGCAAATCGGGTTATAATACTGCTTTCTTGCCTTGCCCCCCACCTCAATCATAAGCTGCCAGAGGACAGGGGCCCAGTGAAGTGCTCACTTATGAAAGGGGAACCGAGTGAAGGCAGGATAAGGACAAAGATTAGCTGAACACACACTGACTTTTGCGGATCAGCTCAAGAAAGACAGGCCTTTGGGGAGACCAAGAAGGGCTCAAAGGTTGCTTTGGATACCAAAAGCCACCCTTTCTTTCTAAACTCCCCAAGGAAAAGGAAATGACTCAAGAGCCAGCCATCTTCTCTGACCTCAGATATAACAGGAATAACAATATCTCCCTTAGTGGCTGGTTGTGACGATTAATCAGATAATGGATACAAAGTGGATACAAAATGGATAAATCAGATAATGGACACAAAGTACATAGAGTAATTATGCAGTACTCTTATTTTCCAGGCAGAAATTTTCAGGGTCTCCTTCAAACTCCAGATCCTTGCTGCCTCAGGTTCCCCTGCAGGCTAACTTCTGACCCTTCTTCCTTGTTCTTCTCCCCTATCACCACCCCATCCTATCTCTCCCTCCTCCCTTCCCAACCTCCAACTCTCCCTACTGCTTGCCTTGCCCAGCAGACAGTACAGGAAGGGAAAACTGAGCCAAAGTGCCCTGATCTACATGTAGTTCTATCCCTATTACCTGAGCCATAGATTTCTCAGATGTAAAATGCAGATGTTGCTAAACAAAAACAAAAGCAAAAAACTAGTACTTAACTCACAATTGCTTTGAAAATTAAATAAGATATCTAAGTAAATACTTACCAAATTGCCTGGCCAAATTAGCTGTCCCTCAGTAAAGAGTTCAGTGACTCTTATCTATTCATTTTCTTTCTCCCCCTTTCTTTTCCTCTTCACCTAGGCCTCAGGTGAAAATGAGAAAAGAAGTTTAAATGGTTCAGTTCACAACAAGAGCACCATGACTTTCAAAGAAAGAAGCCCTCTTTAGTCTAACGGTGACATCAAAGAATCAGTTATCTTATTCACCTTCACCACACATTGGTCACATTTCTGACCAATCTAGATTTAGTGGTCATAGGTGAAGATGCCTGTATGATCCTGCAAAATTAACACTAGATTGTCTGATGAAAAGCAGAGTTTGCTTTGCATGACGGTGTTCTATTTACAGAAGTAAAAAATTCTTCTGTTCTTACTTAGGAAATACCAAGTATTGGGAAAAAGCAAAATATTTCTTCTTTATTAAATTTAACCAAAAGGAAAATTGCATGCTACCACATGGAACAGAGCCCTCTTAAAATTCCCTTCTGAAATCAGGAAAGAAAGCATGTAAAGAAGGACTAATCAAGGTGTGGTCCATAGCCCAGAGACTATCTATGTACTTACTGTTTAAGCACAGAAATTGGAAACTGTTCAGAAACATTTATAGCACTTCGGTATTGTCCGGATATCTAAGCCTCCAATCAGTGGACTCTTCTTATTCAGCTGAGTATAGGGCAATCTAGTTGTCAAATCAGTTTTATGAGGCCAGAGCTGCTTACCGGTAATGCACAAGGGACCACCTACGGGTCTGCGAAGAATTGGAGACGGGGTAGGGTACCGTAGGATGGGGTGGAGGCAAGACTGGCCCTTCGTCACAGTCTGAGAAGCACCGATGTAAACTTGTAGTTCCACAATTTTACGTTGTCGGATAATTTGTCAATCTTCGAGAGTTCCTTTAAATGAAGTCCAAAAATGTGGAAACATCAAATGTGTGGGATATATGCCACTTTGTACCCTTCTCAGATGGAAAAGTGACATATTTCAGTTTTGCATCTCCCTTGTCGAACCTCTTTGGCCAAACCGGTACTGGGGCTCACCGCTCGTCCTAGAGAGAGCCCTGCCATCTCGTGGCTGGAGACGGTGACCGCAAGACAAAGCCGCGTGCTGGGGACCGCCTGTCCTGATTGGACATAAAGACCCTTTCTCCGAGGTCTTCTGTAGTTCTCCCTCTTCCCGATAAGACCATTTTAAAGAACAGGATGGACTTTGGGAGGCGGAGGGAAAAGGGTTTCTTAAGACTGTTTCAAAAGCGCTTCCAGCTCTTGGCAAGAGCGTACGGTTCGCGAAAGAATCACTTTCTACAGTATTTTCTAGGAGGAACGGTGGGAGATGTGAACGCCTCTGAGGGAAACCAAATATTCTCATTCAGAAGAAGGCAAAGAAGGATTGAAGTAAGGATGTGGATTTCCACACACTAACTTTTGCTGGTACTTCTAGGCGAGGCAACTGCCTTTGAACCTTAAAGTGAATACCTATTTAAGTGGAGGGAGGGGAGGACTGCCCAGGTAAACTACAATTCCCAGCAGGCCAGAGAGGGAGGACCGTGCGGCTGCGCAGACGGGCGCGCGACGGTCATGTGATTTCAGCATGGCTGTATTCGCGGATTTAGACCTGCGAGCGGGTTCCGACCTGAAGGCGCTTCGCGTGTTGGTAGAGAACGCCGCTCACCGTGAGTCTCCCCTGCTTTGCGGGCCGCTGTACCTGCCCAGCTTCGCTGCCCCCCAGACCATCGGGCCACGTTCAGAAGGGACTCGAGGGCCTGTCCTCGTCCAGGTTTCCTGGGATCTCGGCGATGTCCCTGGTAGCTGAGGCTGCCACGGTGTTGCTTTGATCCTGGGCGCGGGAAACTCGAAGGCACTTGGGAGCTCTTACCCGCTCCAGCTCCTTCTCCCATGCAAATTGAAAAAAACTGAGGCTCTGAGAGGATGGGGGATTTGCATGGAGCCCCACAGCTGATGGATGGCAGAAGGCAGGGCTTCCAAGTGTATAAGTCTCCCACGCCAGTGCTTTTAGTATCACCCCTTTCTGCCTTACGGCAGTATCAGAGCATTTCGGGGAATTGAGCACAGACGGGGAATGCTGTCGGAATTTAAAGAAGGGGGGGAAGGACGTGAGGGTGACATTGTGGGAATAATATTATTAAGAAGAAGGGGAGATAGAGGGAAGACGTACTAGGCGGGTGGGAGGGAAGCAGCATGGCCAGAGTGCTAGAATGTTACCCATATTTGAATCCAAGGGAAGCAAAAGCCTTGAGAGATAAGACCCTTTTTAATTATTGGATTTAATCATGACTGTTGTCTTCTTTCCACTGTAAAGTGTGGGGATAGAGAAATTTAAAAATAAGGAGGTTTCTATGGAGCCTGTCAAGTAATGGATGCTCATTAACTATTTGAGGGGCGGGGAGGAAAGAAGGAAATCAAACAGATGAGAGAGAGAACCATTCTTTTGGCATTAATATGCCTTATCTTTTAATATTAGTATCCCGCCGTCCCCATTGGTATTTAAGTAACTTAAAGATAGGAGTCGTAATTTTCGGTAGTCCGAATGTCCAGAACAATGCTGTATTGAGTCTGATAAAGCAAGGCCCTGGCCTCAGAGAGTTCCAATCTACTGATGGTGGGCAGCTGGAAAGAAGTGAGCAGTGGTTTGAGGGAGTGATTATTCCATTTCTTCCTAGGAAAGGGGCCTCTTAAGGAAGCAGAAAGGGTAAAAAGCAAAAGAAATGAGCGAGGAAGAAAGGTATCATACTAATAATACATCACAGAGGTCAAACAGAGCCCTGCCTCTGTGCCAGGCACTGCTCTAAATCATCCTATGCTTATTATCTTATTTATTTCTCATGACAGTTGTGTGAGCTAAGTTCTGTTAACACCATTTGACAGTGGAAGAACCTGAAGCTTGACATTAAGTAACTTGTAAGTGGGAATACTTAGATTTGAAAGCAGGCGGTCTGACATCAGAGCCCATACCCACAATCACTGTTCCTCCTGACCCCTAATCTTGACATGAATTGAGCTGAGCCTATGTGTACAGGAAAGAGGTTGTTAACGTTTAACAAGAATGTTCAATTTTTCTTTTCAGTTGGCTATTCAGTTGTTGCCATCAATCATGTTGTTGAATTTAAGGAAAAGAAACAGGTAAAAAACAATTTCTGAAGCTAATAATAACCAGCATTTACAATTGTCTTTGTTTATATTGGTAATGTGGAAGCTACAGATGAGCATATTTCTTAAATGCACACTCTTGTGTACTATCTTATTTTACATGTTAACGATTGAGTCAATGCAAAGTTTTTTGTGAAGTACTAGGGCATGGTAGAAGGATTCTTAAAGTTGAACTGATGTTAATTAAATAACGTTAAATAATTTCTAGAAATACGTTGTTATTGACTGAATTGTAATCACAGTATTTAGTCCTTTTTATTTTACTGTCGTGGACTCATTACTAATTGATTCTCCTCTCACACATGCTCATAAATGTGTATATTTCTCTTCAGACCAACAACTGTACCTTTTAGATTATTTCAATCTAAAAACTATTTTTCATCCCTCCTCTCCATTGATGTTCCCAACTGCTTCTTTGATCTCCAGCTTTCTTCCTTTTTTAAAAAACTTATTTAGTGTTGGGGCGCCTGGGTGGCTCAGTCGTTAAGCGTCTTCCTTCAGCTCAGGTCATGATCCCAGGCTCCTGGGATCAAGCCCCGCATCGGGCTTCCTGCTCAGCAGAAAGCCTGCTTCTCCCTCTCCCACTCTCCCTGCTTCTGTTCCCTCTCTCGCTCTCTCTCTCTCTCTGTCAAATAAATAAAAAATAAAATCTAAAAAAACAAAACAAAACTTATTTAGTGTTTCTGTATACCAGAAATTAACTTTTCTGAAAACCCCTTGTTTTAAGTTTTCCATTACGCTTCATTCCTTTAACATGTACAATCTAGGGTGACTGTTTATTGTTTTTTGTAGGAAATTGAAAAACCAGTAGCTATTTCTGAACTCTTTACAACTTTGCCAGTTGTACAGGTGGGTATTTTGTTGTTTAAGAACCATAATACCTATTCAAATATGCCCAATTTTATGTAGGGTTCTCTAACCTGCACTGTTCCTTCCTCTACCGGTCTTACTTTTCCACAAGACTCAGCTCTTCCATGAAGCATTCTCTTACCATCAATTCAGTACTTCTTTGATGATCTTTTTTGCTGAAATCCTGTAACCTTTAAATAATCTTGTTATGTAGTTTAACACGTGTACATCTTTATTTTGCTAATTATATTATAAATTCCTTGAGAATGAAGACTGACTTTTACTGATCGTCACTATCCTTTATTGCTGGCACCTTTTAATGACTACTTTCCACTAGTAAAGAGGAAAATCAGTCATTGGCATTTTGAACTTTTTTGATAGAATGTTTTTGTTTATAGGGAAAATCAAGACCGATCAAAGTTTTAACTAGACTGACGATTATCGTTTCGGATCCATCTCACTGCAATGTTTTGGTAAGTTATTTTTCCTTCTTTTTAGCCTTATAAGTTGTTGTACTGGTTAATGTTGAACCTTACTCCCTACTTTTTTTTTTTTTTAAGATTTTATTTATTTACTTGACAGCACAAGCAGGGGGAGTGGCAGGCAGAGGGAGAGGGAGAAGCAGGCTCCCCACTGAGCAGGGAGCCCAATGTGGGGCTTGATCGCAGGACCCCGGGATCATGACCTGAGCCGAAGGCAGATGCTTGACCAACTGAGCCACCCAGGCGCCCTGAACCTCACCCCCTTCTTAAATCCCCTGCCCCCAAATATGATACCTGCCTACTCTCCCCATCCTCAGAATTCATATAGCTTAACAGTCTCTTCTACTCTTGGCACGATATAGGGATACCACAGTTAAAGAATCCTTTGACAACTGTTATTCATTGAACTTACATGAACCAGACATAAGGTGGGTGCTAGGGATATTGCTGTGAATAATACAGACAGAATTTTTGAACTTAGGAAGGTTATAGTTTAATTGACAAGACAAGCACTAAACAGATAATTAAGAATGTGAGGAATATTTGAAAAGTTGGAGGTAGTAAATAAAGGATGCTCTGAGAGTGTGTATCAGGGGGGCCAACCTAAGGAAGTTGATGTTCCACCTGGGGCCAGAAGAATCAGTAAGTGTTATATAGGTGTTGAGCAGAAGAGAGTGTTCCCACAGACAGGATGGATTGGACAGAGGTCCTGGGTCCCAGAAAAACATGGTGTTTTCTGGGAAATGAAACACCAATAGGGCTGAACCTCATGAGCTGGCTAACCTGGGATGAGGTTAGAGAGATAGGTCTGGGTGAGCAGTTGGAAGCCCTTGAACATTTTAACTGATGGAGTGAAGTTATGATGTTTGTATTATAGAGCCTGGATCAGAGGGGCTGAGGGGATTTGAGAGGCTTGGTGGAAGGCAGAGGATTGACAGGATTTGATGGTTGATTGGATGTAGTTTGACCACTCCCTGGTATGGCCTGATCCGCCTGCTGGGTAGATGGTGGCACTTTTTCCTGAGGCAGGACATACAAAGAGGAGCGGGTTTGAGGGCACCGTGTTTGGGTTATGAGGTTATTGTGAGGATTCCAGTGGAGTTGTCAAATGGGCAGTTGGAAAAAGGGGTGTGGCCCCCAGAATAGTGGTCTGATTAAAGATACTGATTTGGAAGCCGTCTCTCTGTAGAGAATAAATGAAGTCATGGCAATGGATGAGAATCCCTGGTTCACGCGTGACATGTGAAGAGAAGTTCTAGGACAGAGTTCTGAGGAACTTCAGCATTTAATGATGGAGTAGAGAAGGGGGAGCTAGGATTGGAGACTGAGGCGGGACAGGGAGAAATAGGAAAACAATGAGGAAAGGGAGAAGGGAAACGTGAGGAAGGGTCAGCAGCATCAGTGAGCCCGAGTAGTCCAGCAGGAGAGGGGCTCAAACATGTCTTCGAATATTGACAAGGGAGTCATTGGTTGCCTTAACAAAAACCATCTCCATGGAAATGGTAGGGATGTGAGGAAATGCAGACAGTGTGTGATTGCTTGAGAAGTTGACTCCATAGGGGAGCAGAAGGCACAGGGAGGTTGGTGGATGAGAACCTGCTGTCTGGGTTTTGGTAGGTGGGAGAGAGGAGTATGCCTGCCGATGGGAAAGATCTAGTGAAGGAGGGAGAAAGCGAGATCCCTGAGAATGTGAGCAGTTTTATCTTGAGCTGGAGTGGACTTCTCTGCCATAGAACAGGAATCATCAAGAAAGGCTGGCCTCCTTTACAACAATTAGCATTGCTTAAAAAAAACGGGAAGCCCAATTCTGGTATTTTATACAACTGCAAGACAGGGTTCTGGTTCTCTGGGCCCAGGTAGAGCTGACTTTTGATGGGTCACAAAGATGTTCATTTTCTCTTTTTATCATGAGGATCCTGGTGGACTCTTTTTGTCCCCTTTCCAATTGGGAGTGGGCAAGCAGAGGGCACAGAATGCTAGGTCCTAACTTTTTTCTAAGACCTAAAGCCTGCCCTGTGTCAGCGTGTCTGCCCAGCAGCCCTTCCTGCCTGCTTCCTCCTCTGATTTTTAGAATGCCTTTTCTTTTTACAAAGTAAGAGGTAAAAACTTTAAAGGTGCAAACAGGCAAAGACGAAATATCACATATTATCCCATCATTCAGAGACCCCCGACCCCTACCCCATGTAGTTAAATATTCATGTATAACTTTTGACTCCCCAAAAACTTCACTACTAACAGCTTCACTGTTGACCAGAAGCCTCACTGATAATAAAAACAGTTGATTAATACACATTTTGTATGTTCTGTGTATTACATACTATATTCTTAAAGTAAGCTTGAGGAAAGAAAATGTTATTAAGAAAATCACAAGAGGGGCACCTGGGTGGCTCAGTCGTTAAGCTTCTGCCTTCGGCTCAGGTCATGATCCCAGGGTCCTGGGATCGAGCCCCACAGCAGACTCCCTGCTCGGCGGGAGGCCTGCTTCCCCCTCTCCCACTCCCCCTGCTTGTGTCCCCTCTCTAGCTGTATCTATCTCTGTCAAATGAATAAATAAAATCTTTAAAAGAAAATCACAAGAAAGAGAATATATTTATAGTATTGTGCTAGATTTATAAAAAAAAAAATCCATGTATGGGTGGACCTGTGCAGTGCGAACCCATATTCAGGGCTCAGATTCATAGTTTCTCAGCCTTTTCATACACATACACATATGGTATTAAGTTCAAGATTTTCATTTTTAAGCAATAACTCTTTAACTGATACATCCCTTTCCTGCTGTCAGAGGACTGTCAGGTATTTTCTTGCACATCTAGTATTTTAATTTCTATTTAACAGTATTGTTATTGTGAGCCTAACCATATCATGCTTAGTATGTGTATTTCTTGTCTCACAAAAAAATGGTGAGTTCCATTGAAAGCCCAGACACATGCCTTAAAAGAGTTCGTATCCCCAGTGCCCAGCACACAGGAGGTGCTCAGTAAATATCTGGCAACCTCCTCCACTCACTTGTAAGAGCACGAGCTATCCAATTTGATTTTTACATCTCAAGCACAGTTTGGTACAGAGTTAAAGGGTAACAATGTGGGAAGGAGGGTGATGGGTGGGATCTGAAACCTCATGTGCTTAGGTGGGCTTTTCTGTCCACATACAAAGCAAAGCAGAAATGGCATATAAAAAATGTTACGTGATTAAAATAAGTGCAGCTAGACCACGAGTCAGAATTCCACGTGTACACTCTTTGTTACTGTACAATAACATTCTTTTTGTATTGCCAGAGAGCAACGTCTTCAAGGGTCCGGCTGTATGATATCATTGCAGTTTTTCCGAAGACAGAAAAACTTTTTCATGTAAGTAACAGATAGGGAAAGAAAATAGTATTTATTATTTTATATAAGAAGTCTGATGTTCTGCTTTTGCAGGTGACCTGTTTTCACTCCATCTGGAAACTTTTAAGATTTTTCATGTGTACTTGGGATTCTGGAATTTCACAAGGGGATGCTTAGATGGCATGTGTTGTTTTGTTTTATTCATCTTGCTGGATATTTCATGGGCTCAGATTGAAAGAGTCTCTCGGGTATTTTTCCTGTTTCTTTATCTCTGCGTCATTCACTTATTCATTCATTTGAAATGTCTCTTAAATAAATGTTGGTCTGTCTCCTTCAAAGCTCTGAAATCACTTCAGTTTCTGCCCTTCGTACTATTCACTGCTGCCTGTGAGGGAAGAAAGGTGCAAAGTTCTGCTGTGGCATGAAAGATCTCTCTGGTTTGGCTTTCTCCTTTGCATGCTCTGAGGTGTAGTCCATATACCAGCATGATCACGTCGGCCTTTAGTCTTCCAGAAGTTCTTCAGAATCAGCTATCTGCTCATACTATGGCCCTTTGTGTTCCTTGAGCTTTTATGAATTTAATTCCTTTTGTATTTTTAAAATTGCCATTTCCATGACTTTTCAGGAGGGAAAGTTGTTGAACATGTATATTTGTTTTGTCAAGTTGAGACAGAACACACTGGGTATTTTATTTTATTTTTTTCACTCTGTGCATATTAAATGATTACAGGAAAGAAAAAAAAGTCAATGGTAATACAGTTTTTCAGGAATGTTTTACTGTGTAGAATGGGCATGGCTACTTTTAGACAGTTCTGAATGTTGTTTTTATCTTGATTCAAGAAAATAGCCATCTATCAAAACTCTATCCACCAAATGGATACTGCAGAAAAAAACAATGTACTGGTCTTTGATGTTTTAATTTTATAGCCAAGTTCATTTTTAAGCAAAATCGGTTCTAAAATTATAGGATGATTTTCCTTAAGTTTACCCAGTAGATGGAGCTGTTGACTAAGGAGGCTGGTGTGTGATTAAATTTAGTTTTTAGAGCAACTATCAATTCTTGTTTATATTACTTCAAGGAAATAGCACAAATTATGAATTTTTTTAAATTTGGTGACACCTTTCATAAAATGCTCAATTACAGTAATTCTCAAGAATTTTGTTTCAGATAAAGGTGAGTAGGATCAAGTGGTTCTCAGTTATCAGAAGCTCCTATGGAACTTTCAAAAATCAGGCACGTTCAGGTCTCTACCACTGGAGATTCGGATCCATTAGGTTTGGGGTTGTTAGAGTATCTGTTTTTTTTTTTTTTCCCAAGTCCCACAGGACATTCTCATTCAGTGTTGAAACCCTAAGGAGGAATATGAGCATATCCAAGTTCGTTAAATAGCAAAAGATTTTAGTTTTCTTATACCAAAACTTTAGTATACTTAGTTTTCTTACTAAGTTATAGCAACTCAGTTATAATGTAGACTGAAGGTTGGCATGTACCTAATTTTTTGTTGCCCATTTATTTTTTTAATTGATTCTGAAGTGCACACAATTTACTTTTCCATAGTCATATAACATGGTGGGGAGGCACACATTTATATATCCTTCCAAAGACTTCTACCTATTTATTATCTTTAACACAACAATCCTGGGAATAAACAGGACAGATACACTTTATTACCCTCATTTTTTAGAAGAGAAAGTTGAGACTTAGGCTAAATGATTTGCTTTAAATCTCAGGTAGTATGTAGTAGAGCCAGGACTTTTGGGTTTTAGAATACATTAAAATTTCACTTAGCAATTTTATCTTATTACAGTTGACCCTTAAACAACATGGGCTTGAACTGCACAGGTCCACTTTTATGCAGGTTTTTTTCAATAAATATAGTACAGTACTATAAATGTATTTTCTTTATGATTTTTTTAATAACTTGTCTAGCTTACTTTGTTGTAAGAATACGGTATATAATACATATTACATACAAACGTGTTCATTGGCTGTGTATGTTATCGGTAAGGCTTCTGGTCAACAGAAATTAAGTTTTTGGGGAATTAGAAGTTATACGTGGATTTTCGACTGAGTGGGGGGTTGGCACCCCTCACCCCTATGTTGTTCATGGGTCAGCTGTATTTGTTTTTCTCAGATTATTCAAAAGTGTGAATTTGACAGCATGAACACATGCTTTATATGGTGGGTAGAACTGTCAGAAACACTCCGGAAGATGGAATAAAGCTGTAAATAACATACAAGGTATTTGTTTGGAATTGACTATGCAGATATACTCAAAAAGTTACATGAAAACAGTTTTTAAAATTGGAACATCTTCCTCTTATGTGTCCAGATCTTTCCCATTCATTAAGATGCAGTTAAAGTTAGCACTCTCCCAGTGTTCTATAGAAAATCAATTTTAAAAGACGAATTTTTTTTTTTAATCATAAAGGTTTTATAAGTATATCATGGTTTGGAACAGGGTCAAATGCAAGCATTGTGTTGCTTAGCAGGTTGTATTCTATAAGTGATTTTGTTTGGTTTTTAAGTAGATTATCTAGAATTTAAGCAAGCATCCCTGTAGATGTGATATTCTAAAACTAAGGTCTCTAAAATGAGTCATAAAAACATACACACACACACACATACGTTAACAGTTCGTAGTTTAAAATCTAACCACCTTAAATAGCATTGTTTCCATAGGAAATAACATACGATTTCCCATTTGGAGTATATGGAAGATGTCTCATGGATAAACCCTCCCTCCCCAAAGTTACCCCAGGGGATAAGGCAGAGATGAAAGACTGTAAGGGGAGTCCTTTAGCCAGGACTTCTTGGGATGAGAGATAGCGTGGAATTTGGCAGACGCAATTACCTAGAAGCTTCGGGAACTTCTGAGTTAGTTACTCCCATTTAGGGATTTAAAGCGACTTTAGTTAGTTACTCCCATTTAGGGACTTAAAGCGACTTCAAAGTACTTGATTTTGTACTCTATCAATTTTAAAAAATATTGAGCTTTTATTCCCAGTACGTTGTTTATTTTCTTATAAATTATGTGTATGTTCCAGTATATCAATGTGATTTTTGAAATAATATACACACACAAAACAAATTTTAAGAGAATGAATTAAAAAATAAATGGAAATAGAAGGTCTGTTTTCTTCCTTCCAAAACCCATGCCTTAGCCTTTGAAGAGCATTGTTGTAGAATATGATCGCAACACCTGAGGCTCTTGAGGAGGGGGAGTACCTTTCAAGGCAGTGCTCCTCAAGCTGTGGTCTAGCTTTACCAGACAGGGCTGTTTCTCCACATGCAGGTTATTAGGCCCTACTTATCCCTGAATTTATCACTGGGAGTAAGGCCTGATAATTTCCATTTTAAATAAATTCTTCAGAGGAGTTTATATACACACACTTCAGATTGAGAGGCACTGTTTATGGCCATCTCTCTTTTCTCTGGGTAAGTCTGGCTCTCCTTTGCATATTATTTGTCATAAAGTATGAACATGTATTAACCTTATACCCATGAAGGGGACTTGGGAGAGACTGAACCCCTACCCTCCTGTTCCCCCAGTTCTGTAGAATGAAAAGTAAATGTATTTGTGGGTATATGCAGTTTGGGGAATATGCCTTCCTTAAATCCTCATAGGAGTCCTTGGCCAGAAAAGAGTGACAAACAGTTGATAGGAATTCATACGCAACTTGGCAAAGCCACTATATTCAGGTTCTTAACTGCAAATATTATTTGAACATAATTTATTCTGTTTTAGTGATTTAGAGAGTATATCATTATAATGTAAAATTATCTTATTTTATAGTTCTCTAATGTATCAATTAAACATTTGGATTAATAGAAAGTTGAATAACAAAAGAATTCAGTTGAGACATTTTAAGTTTGAGGTGTCAGAGGGAGCCAAGGGGAGCTGTCCTTTGTAACTGAACGTTTATTATAATATGTGTACTTAAGGGATAGTTTTTAATTAGCTGCTGTTATATAAGAGGGAGAAAATGAGCAATACATTAGTTAAAAAGTAACCTAATTTAGCTTTATTCTGGGGAAAAATGCTTAACGGACTTTTAAAAAATGAATGTGCTTTTTTTTAAATGAAAAACAATGATAATAAGTTTAAACAGTACAAAGCGGTGTGCATTGAAAAGTACACTTTCTTCCCACCTGAAGCCCTCCCTTTTCTCCAGAGGCAATCACTACTAACAGTTTTTGTGTATCTTCTCAGCGATAATTATTTACGTACTCCTTCCTTCCTCCATTCCCCTCTTCCTCCCTCCATCCTTCCTTCTAACACCGTGCTTTTTTTTCACCTAACAGTATATATAGTTCCATAGTACCAATTAGAGATGTATGTCATTCCCTTGAAGGAGTCCTCATATTCCATTGTATAAAGGGACTATAATTTATTGAAGCAAAATAAAGGGATATTTAGTTGTATCTAATCTTTTGTGATTGGTATTGCAGTGACTGTCCTCGCACTAATATTCTTGAGCGTTTGTTGGGTATAAGTCTATAGAATGTGTTTCTAGAGGTTCTCTACAGGGTACGTTCCTACAGGCGAAATTGCTGATGTGTGCATTTAAAATTTTGATGCCTGTTGCCAAAATGCTTTTCAGGACCCTGTACTGATTTAAAGACCCTGTGAGTGCCTGTTTGCTCATTCTCTTGTTCGCAGTGGATTACTGGACTTTTGGATCTTTGCTATTCTGATAGCTTAAAAATGGTGACCAGAAGCTGAACTTGTTATATCTTCTATTCAGAGCTTTTCATCCATTCTTACCAAATTTTCAATGAGTCTTTTATGAGGTGGACAGCAGTAGTAGTTGGGATGGGGCAGGTTCTTTATGAGCCAAGTGTTTCTGCCAAAACAGCGTTCTTTCCAGGCTTACTAAGTTACTGTGACTGTCTAAAGCCAGGCAGCCTCTGATCACTACTTGCTTCCTAAAGCCCTGAGAGGGAGTAGGAATGACCAAAGTGGGAATTCTGAAGAAGAGAGGCAAGATGGGACATTCCTGTCACTGCTAAAAGTCCAGGTTGGTCATGTGGGGCATATTATGACCTGCTCTTTACCCCCCTTCCTTACTCTGCCCTCCCCCTCTGGCCATAGCACTGATGTTGCTTTGCCCGCAGAGCCAAGCTGGCATTTTGAATTTGTTATCAAGCCTGTATACACCAGCATTGTCAGTAAGGCTTATTTTTAATACAGTACAAAACAGCCAATTCTTTCTGTGACGGTAAATCAAGTAAAGGCCAAATCAGAGCCAGACATGGTATCTAGCAGTGGTTTTGGCCTATACTCTTATGCTCTTAATCTTTCCCCAGCTTTATTTTGCTTTTCTGATTTTCCATTTATCCTGTTTTCCTTATCTATTTTCTTTTGTATGTTTTTTGTTTTGTTTTGTTTTTGTAAGCCACTTCAAACCTCTTTGGAAGTAAATGCAAAGTATTGATCAATAAGCAAGAACAAAAATTAGAACAAAGGCAAGGGAACTTAAAAGTTGAAAAATGCGTTCACTATTTCACTATCATTTTGATTTGTAACAGCTCTGCTTTGGCCACTTGCGTAGACTGTTTCTCTTCTAGTTGGAACAAAATTGCCGTCAGTAGGGCCATGTCAGTATTTTTCTAGCCCCTCAGTAGGCTGATAGGAGCCACAGGCCTGGGACAATTCCTGGCACAAAAGTAAATAATCTGTGGAATAAATGGACCATGCATATATTCCTTTGGCTTGTTTTTCTTCGTGGATTTCAGAACAGTTAGTTGCCTCTTTTCTGGAACAATCTGATGTAGCCTTCCGGAAACTGAGCCTCTCTTAGCATGCCATCCTTATGTAGTAGACCATGAGTTAGAGGGTCTCCAGCCTCTGTCTGGTGAGATGATCCATGGACATATCACTGTGCTCCAGCTAGGTTATAGTTAAACCATTCAAACCAAATGTGAAGGAATGGCTAATCATTGACAGATATATTTCAGCACCATTATGATGCCTTTGGACTGAACCATACCTATACTTCTTTAAATCAGGTTTGACTGTATCTCCCATTCTTTTTTTTTTTTCCTCCCATTCTTAATGTGTGCCATATTTCCTTTTGGCTTTACCTGGTTTTCTTGCTTCTTGACAGGTTGCTTGTACACATTTAGATGTGGATTTAGTCTGCATAACTGTAACAGAGAAACTACCATTTTACTTCAAAAGACCCCCTATTAATGTGGTAAGTGTTGTACTTTCCCTTCTATATGTGAATCTCTGCAAACCCACACTAACAAACTGGAAAAGGGACAAAAAGACCTAGTGTTCTTTAGAATGAAAAACCGAAGGCTAGGTGATAAATAGGCAGTTTAAAGAAAAGAGGATTCCATTTTTGAAGGCTGACTAAAGGTAGAAAAGGATCTTAAAACAAAAACTATCCAGTAAATTATTAAGATGTTTTTAAAAGGCCTTAGAAGCCAGAGTTTATGAAGGATATTTCTTAAAAGGATAACCATAACAACAGACACTTAGAGCCTGAGCATTGAACAGTAAGGGGATAGGGCAGTCGAGAAAGAAGAGGTAGGGGAAAAATTACAGAGAGGGTTCCTGAGGCACCAGCGAGCTCGGGCGGGCGGGAAGATGAAGGAGCCGGGCGCGGAAAGCCCAGTGAACGAGGTCCAAGCAGGATGAAAATCTGCCCTGAAGCCCGATGGTTCACACAAAAACACAAAAGCCCAGGATGACTTTTATAATAACCTCAGACAGACATGGCCATGTGTTCAGGGAAGTTTTTCTTCCTGCTCCTGCCACAGAAGTCTTCTCATTACCTTTCTACATAGTTTCTCTGGTTCTTCCCTACCCCTTGTCTTCCATCTGTCACGCCTTCTTGCCGGTCTTCTTCCATCTGAAAGGTGGGAGGACTACACCTCAGCGGCTGCCGGCTCAGCGTGGCTGTCAGGCGGCCAGGTCCTGGGCAAGGGTTAGGATATGCCGTTTGAGAAGAGCGGCTTCCGAACCTGTCTCCCCTTCTCAAGAATTCCTCTCGAAGGAGACAGAGGGTCTCACAGACAGTCCAGATTCCAAACCCAATCCTGTCAGAATTGGAAAATTAAAGACTTATGTACTTTTTCCAGATCGATCACTGCCCTCTTCCATCTCGTGGAATCACAACTTCCTCGAGCTTTCTTTTGCTGTCGCTGCTGCCGAAGAATTGGCTTGATGCCAAGAATAGGGGGACACAGAGGAGAACATTGATCTGTGTGGTGTGCAAAAATTGAATCGTGTGGAAAAATTTAAGTTGGCTTATGTTCCACCCCTAAAAATATGCTATTAAAGAACTTGAAAAGCACTCAAAATTTTAAAGTCACGTATATAAAGGGAAAACTAAACCAGCTCTTTCCTGATAAATACAGAGAGTGCTACTGAACATAAAGCAATATTTATTAAGCTCAAATCATTGCCCATGTTCTTGCTGGTACTTATAAATGAGTAAATAAACCCTAAAAAAAAACCCTGAATTATTATATTTTCGAGTTGGAGATCTGTGTTGTTTTTAGCAGCTCACCTCTGCAATGTGGTAAAACGCAGGCTGGCAAGGAGAAGCCATTCAGCTCGTCAGTCACAGGGTGGGGACAGTTCTGGTTGGTACCCTGTCAAAAGAGATCTCTGAGATGCTCCAGCTACCTGCAATAAAAGGCACAAACTAATACAGTACCCAAGGTGATGGCAGTCTCGTTGGCCTCACATATTGGTCCTCTCCAGAGGTAGCAATCTCTGTCTCTAGAAGTTTGCCAAGGCTTTTTACCAACCTCCAACTACCAGTCCGGTTTCTGGAGTTAGGTGGTACAGCCACTCTGTAAATTGCTATTCAGCTTGCAACTTTTTTACCTTTCTCTTTGTCTTAATGAATAAGGAAGGCCATTTTCTAGACTTCTTTGCCTGAGTAAACCCACATACGGTACTGTGTCCTTGTTTGGGACAAGAGAGTAGCCTGTGATGCTAAGGCCAAGTCCATGGAATGGACAAACAGGAGTGTACAGCACATAATTCCTCACGTCCTACAGCAACAGTAGGCTTCTCAGTGGCTGTTTTGGCAAGGGCTTTCATTCGGTTCCATATGAATGTGCCCTACTGTTCAACCCAGATTGTGAGCTTCTAGAGTGCACCAACTAAGGGTTGGGCCTTTTTATTTATTTTTTTTTAAGATTTTTTATTTATTTGACAGAGAGAGACGCAGCGAGAGAGGGAACACAAGCAGGGGGAGTGGGAGAGGGAGAAGCAGGCCTCCCGCTGAGCAAGGAGCCGGATGCGGGGCTTGATCCCAGGACCCTGGGATCATGACCTGAGCCGAAGGCAGACGCTTAACGACTGAGCCACCCAGGCGCCCGGGTTGGGCCTTTTTAATTACCTAAAATCTTGCCTGCAATGGATGCTCCTTAGAATTTGTCAGTCGAATGAATATATGTCTAATTTAGCATATCAAGGTGCAGCTTGGGGAACATGGCCAAATCCTGCTTGTCATCAGTCTTTAGCTGGCTGTCAGGGTCTGGTGACAAGCGTGGGCAGGGAGGGAAGTGGGGCACTGGGGCAGGGTGAGGAGGATGGCATGGGAACAGTGGCAGTAGGACCGCCCACCCTCAAGTTCCATCTGTAGGTTCAGGAAAACTGCTGTTTGATGGATATTTTTGGCTTAATTCCCATATATTTCAATTTAAGAATTCTGAAAAGTAAAAATTTGACAAGTGAGAGGGATAGGCAGTATTTAACACAGTGTCTGCTTTTTTAAAAATCTGGTGTGAACATTTTACATATGTTGTTTAATAAAAACTAGATGATGGAGTGGAAGGAAAGGCTGTGCAAGATTATTTTTAGTCTTCATCTAGTGTGGAAGTAGGCTGTGGTGTGAATTGGTAAGGAAGCACAAAAGTCTATTTATTCACCACCCATTTTTCATTTGAAAGAAAAAGCTGAAAACATGTAATAAGAGGTAGCTAGCTTATTGTTGAGGGCAAGTAAGAGTTGTATGGTATGTATGTATCTATATCTAATAATATCTATTCTAGATATGGAGCTGTATGATTTTACCTTTAATTTCTATTTAAAAACGCAAATATATTCACCATGAAAGTATAGAACATGTGGTAAATGTGGGTAACAGTCAAGTCTTAAGTCCCTGTCCTTGCATGCTTCTTTGGATTTGAGAGTAAACTTGTCTTTGGCCGTGAAAAGTTGATAGGTTGACTTCATAAGGATCACTTTATTGGGCACAGATCTTGATTTGAATAGGATTTGTATCCTTTTATTTTGTGGTGGTGAAAAGCAAGATCATTAAGATACTTAATTCATTAGTCGTCTACCTAGAGGCCTTAAGCCATGTAACTGTCATCACCTCCAAAGGTTGGGATGATAGGTTGGAAGGGACAAATTTCCAGTTATAAGAAGAAAAACTTCTGAGGATCTGATGTACTCTCATGACTGTAGTTAATAGTATGGTGTTGTGTACTTGAAAGTTGTTGAGAATAGATCCTAAGCATTCTCACCAAAAAAAAAAAATTTGACTACATTAACTATGTCAGGTAATGTATGTGCAAATTATGTGGATCTTAGTAATCATTTCACGATGTATATGTATATCAAGTCATTGTATTGTATACTTTAAATACGTACAATTATATTTGTCAGTTATTCTTCGATAAAGTTAGAAGAAGATGATGGTTGGGGTTATGAAGGAGGGCCCAGGAGCTCGAGCAGCACACCAGAGCACCCCATTTGTACAACTTAGAGCTCGCATCTTCTGAGTTTTCTTCACCACGTGCTTAGGGCACCATAATATCAGTTATGTGATTCCCTTTAAAATCTACAAACCTCTTCTGGCGTCTAAGTAACTTGTAGGAAATCACAACTTTATCATGTGATAGTTGGATTTCAAAAAATTGAATTCAACTCGTCTTAGACAGCCAGGTGACTTCTCATTACTTATTTATGGTTTAGGCACTTTCTCACCTGCCCCAGCCCAGCAGCTGTAGGGTGAGTAGGTGTGAAGTATCTCCATTAGGCAGATAAGGAATCAAGACTCAGGTAGTTTGTGGCTCACGCTTCTCTCAGAAGTTGACTTGGGAATTGTGCTCAAGCTCTGATTCTAAATCCACCGTCATTTCCCACTGGGAAATGCTATTTAAAATTACTTTACAGCAGAGCTCTTTGTTAAGCATAGAATAATTTCATATTTCAAAACGTGATCTTTAGGAATTCAGGTTTCGAGAAGAATTTTTTTTAAGCAGCACATATCTTTGCCTTCCCTTTGATTTTTTTTTTCAGTGTTATTGCCATTCAACAATGACTTCAAGTTTATGGAGTTATTTCAGTGCTTCTGTGTGTTTTGCTCCCTGATGTTTTCCTCTCAGCACTTCCTTTAACTGTAATCCATTTCTGTCTTCATGGTCCCATTAGTCCCCACCAAGAAATGTCCAGTAAATAGTGTCTGAAGCAGTGAAGTTGTTCCAGGAATCATGCCATATATACTTGAGTTGGGTGTGAGTGCTTTATAAACTTTATTTTTCATCACACATATTGTGACCCTAAATGTATTGAGTGCTTTATCGATCCAGTGCTTAGACCAGTGCTAGCACACTTGCTGGTATCAACAATTTTTGTGTGGCAAAAAAACCAGAAAGAAAGTTAAAAGAGTGGTGAAAATATTTTCACATATATCGAAGGTAAAAGGCTAATCTCCCTAATGTATAAAGAGCTCCTAGAAAATGAGAAGCTAAAAAACACAAATGAACAGTCCCCCAAAAATGGATTAAGAATGTGAAAAGACATTTCACTGGAAAGGAAATACAAATGGCCCTCAAAAATGAAAGATACTTAAATTCATCATAATAGGAAAAATTCACATTAAAAGCACCTGATTGGCACAAACCCGGGAGTTTGATGATACGCTCTGCCATAAGGTTGCGGGGAAGCAGGCATTCTCCTACATTGCTGTAACAGTGTACATTGGAGCAATCCCTACGGAGAAGTGGGTAATTTGGCAGCAATCATCAAAATTACAACTGCCTTCCCTTCTGACCTTGTGTATGAGTTTCCCGGGGCTGCCATAACAAAGCACCACAAACTGGGTGGCTTAAAACAACAGCAATTTATTGTCTCACACTTCTGGAGGCTAGAAGTCTGAAATCAGGGTATCATCAGAATCATGCTCCCTCAGAAACCCAGAGGAGAAACCTCGGCCTCTTCTTGGCTTCTGGTTTGCAGGCAGTCTTTGGGGGTCCTTGGCATGCAGCTGTGTGACTCCACAGTCTCTGGCTTTGCCTTGCGCCGTGTTCTCCCTGTGTGTCTCTGTGTCTTCACGTGGTTGTCATGTTGTAAGGACACCAGTCTTGGGATCAGGGGCCCACCTTACTCCAGTGACCTCCTCTTAACTAATTACATCTGCAACAGCCTTGTTTCCAAATAAGGTCACATTCTGAGGTACTGAGGGTTAGGACTTAAGCATACCTTTCAGGAGGGTGGGAAGGGGGGACACAATTCAACCCATAATACCCAGCAGTCCCACTTGAGTGTTTATTCTACAGATATATTGAAACAACCCAAAGTCTACCAGTAGAGGCATGGTTAATTCCACGCCATAGCTCTAGAGTGAAATACTCTGCCGCTATAAAACGCCCTCGAGTCAGAGCAAGAATATGGTGGGCTACCTTTTGGGTAAGAAAGAGGAAAAATAACATATACTCATATTTACTTGTGTTTATATGAAGACACTCTGGAAGAAGACACAGAAATTAATAGAAATAATTATGGGAGGTGGGGATGGGGCAGATGGGAGCAGAGATACAAGACTTTTTATTGATTTCTTATGTTACTTTCATTTGTGAATTATATGAACAAATTACCTGTCTTAGATAATGATACACCAAAAGGGTGTTGAATCCTTTTGAACTCAGTAAAGAATTTTTATGAAATTAACAGGGAATCTGTATATTGTCCTGGTAATCAACTCTCTATTTTCTTCCTGTCATCTTAAGCTTTGCTTAGTTCTTGCAATTTTACCACCAGTTTTTCTTGATTCAAATATCACACACCTGCCCTTGGTTTATAGCATCATTATGACTTATTTCTCATTAGTATAGAAATCTGATCATCTCCCTATTCCAGGACCTTGGTCAGAGATGTGAACAAAAACCAATCAGGCAGACACTGTCATTCGTTATGAAGAGGCTGTTAGGAACAATCATTTGAGGAGCTTAAGGCAATTTACATTAGAATGGTCTTAGAAGTAGGCCCAGGTAATGAGTCTGTATTTTATCCATCTAAAAATTTAAAGTGTAGTGTTATGAAAGAAATATTCACAAACGTCAGTAGCACATTATGTATAATTTCTGTCTCAGACTTTTCTTAACTATTTAAAAGTGAACCTGATTAATGTACTAAGAGCAAAATCAGAACTTTTTTCTTAAAGACTAATTAAGCTGATGATTGTCTTCCCTCCTTCCCCCCCCCAAAAGAGAGGAGTTTTTATTTTGATCTCATCCCCAGAGGGGGCTAAAATTATAGATACAGTTAGGAATACTTTCTGACCTGGTCCCCCAGTTCTGTGTATCATCCACATCTTTTTTTTTTTCATCCACATCTTTTATTTCCCCTCTTCTCCATCCTACTGCCTTGTGTTTTAGTTCAGCAAATAGAAGGATGAAGAAAAAAATGTCAGCTTCTTTGACTAATTAGTAGTTTTGGTAAGAGAAGTAGCCAAGGGAATAGTTGAGAATATGGCTGAAGGAAGTGTTTTGGTTTATCTGTTGAATAATTAGCCAAGTTCACCCTGGTTCCTTTTACATAAATAATCCGCATTATTACATAAACTTTTTTCTATAAGCTACCGTTTAGCTTACAGAAAGCATTATTACATAACCTCTTTTCTATAAGCTACTATTTATCTACTCAGAATATAAATATATTAAACACTTTTTGCATAAAAGGCAGTTGTGTGTTACAAAGAAATACCATGACACCAGCTCTCAAGCAGTGCATAAGACAGGCAGGGAGACTGAGGTGCACATTTAACTATGGCACAAAAAGTATCATCACAGATACCATTCCCAGAAAGAATCAACACAAGCCCAAGGATTAGAGGTGGGAAAAAGTCGTCAGGAAAGATGGCAGTATGGAAAATCGCATGTAAATTTTAACTAAGCTAATATCAGCTATGTAAGGAAATCTGTAATAAAATCTCAGAGCCTTAAGGCAAGAGGAAAAGTTAATGAAGAGAAGATTAGGGATGGGAGAAAGGAAGTCTCCGTTCAGGGAGGGAAAGTAGGGGCCTTCCATGTACACCTGAATTACATCAAGGTGGGCTACCAGTTCTGGAAGAAGACCAGTTTTTCCGTTCCCTGTGCACATTCAGAAGTAGACCTCCAGCAGCCACAGCTGACCACTCCCAGCTCATCCTCTGGGTAATAGAAACTCATTTACCAGGTGCTGCCCGATTTGTGCCTGCTGTCCTTCCTTTGTTCATTCAGAAGACCACTGCAACCAAGGGACTTGGCCCTGCCATGCTAGCATCCTTCAGATGCTTCTCACTGCTGAGTCTGCCTGCAGTCCTAAAGACCTGCACAGTGGCTGTTCCTACCGTCCTTAGCCTCCATTCCCACCACAGGGCGCCCCCTCACTCTATCTTCCCCAGCCCATGACCTTCTCTCCGTGCTCCCACACTCCCTCCAACCCCAGAGCCTCTCCCTGTACTCCTCCCTCAGAAAATGCTCCTTTCTCTACGATTCACTCAGTTCCTTTGTCATCCACTTCTAAACTTCTTGATAGCACTTACCACAGTTGAAGTGTTAGGTTTTTGTGTAAGTATTTGATAGTCCCCCTAGAGTAAACTATAAGCTCTGAGAAGGGAGGATCCATGTCAGCTTTTGCTCACCGTTCCCAAACATAGTTGCCTGAACACATATCTTGTGAATGGATGAAGATCCGGAGTTGCTCATCAGAAAAGATGGACAGTGTAGTGGTGGCTTTCAGTTCTGTCTCCACCCCTGCCAGGCTGTTTTCTTACCTGTGGATGCCTACCTATTAAGAATGTCTTAAGTAGGAAAGAAGTTTCTTTTTCTCATGTAAAAGACCAAGCTTGTCTGGTGAGCTGGGCGAAATAGTTAAGAGCTCAGGCTTCTTTGATCCTTGAGCCCAGCCAAAGCTCAGGGCCTCTAGAAGTAAAGAAAAAGGGGAGAACAGATATTGGGGGCAGCTAGCAGTCTGCCACAATGCCTTATAAAGGTATCATAAGGGTTAAATATAAAGGTAAGACTCTTACCACCTGACACATGGTACTTCCTTCATTCAACATATGTAATAATTGACTCACCTGGGGGGCTTTCCCACCCCTATTCTTTGAGCTTTTTTTCAGCTCTTCATTTCTTTGTCTCTTACATTCTTGGGTCAAATTTTTTGTTTGTTTACTGTGTTTGCAAACAGTTTACCCTAAGTGTAGGGAGCGCATTTCCATTTTCCTTTTAATAGTTGATGTAGGAATAGCCCATCTGGCACCCCACTGGGACTTTGCTCTGCCTCAGGATTCCTGTTTATATAAAGTCAGCTTCCCCACAGCTAAGATAAACTCTTGATCAAATAGAGCCAAACATCTGCCTGCTCCTGTGGATGGTGCCATTCGGGCATAAATCTGCCTTTGTTTAAGGCTGTACCTCGACATGCAGGAGGTCTGTGGTGGGGTTGAGGAGGGAGATGAGGGAGAATCTTAGTGAAAAGAAAGCAGGACAGTGTGTGTTGATCCTTGACAGTTTATTTTCTTTATCTCCTGTGAAGGCAATCGACCGAGGCGTGGGCTTTGAACTCATCTACAGCCCTGCTATCAAAGATTGCACAATGAGAAGGTACACAATTTCCAATGCCCTCAATTTGATGCAGGTCTGCAAAGGAAAGGTATGGTTCCCTAATTTCAGGATGTTTTTCAAATCTAGCAGTTTATTCTTATTATTAATATACTGGAATTGTTTAACCGATTCCTTTTCCCTAAAGCAGAACGTTCTCAAGGCCCGGAAACAAATTCTCCCATGTCAATGAGCCCTGCAGGTTTTAAGGGAAAGAAAAATATCAAAGGAAGAATAATGCAAGGGTGGGGGAGGAAGATCTGTTGAAACCCTTTATCTTCCAATAAGGACTTTGTAGTTTACCTACTGTGCAAAGAATGGTCTAGATAACAATTTTTTGTCATCAGTGAGTTGAATTAAGATTATATGACCTTTTCAACTAGTTTTTTAAACCAATTCACCTTCTGTAAGATCTGGTGGGAAGGCTTACTCTGTTTCTTGTCCTGTAGGGTGCTGTTGGTCCTAAGGTCTTTCTTCAACTTTGATTCTTTACCTTATCTTTAAAAGAAGTTGGTATTTGTAGAGCCTTAAATGTTAAAAAGTGATTACTGGTTATTTGTATTAGAAGACTTTTCAATTTTTTTTTTTGTTTACATTTACCTGAGATTAATGTTGATCACTTTCTATTTTGCAGAATGTGATTCTATCTAGTGCTGCAGAGAGGGTAAGTCTGGCATGAGTACTTTGTTTACACTCTTCAAGTTATAAGACTTTGAAACATTTCTAGAGGATAAATTAATAGTAATGTAATGAATGCTTATTGCATATTTTCATTTTGAACTGCCTGTGCCCATTGCAAGTGCTGAAGAGTGAAATGTGTCCCCATTTCTTTTGGGCTGCAGGTTTTGTTTATGTGAAGTTTTTTCTTTATGCTATTACAAAATGCTTTCCGAATTCTTTTAGAAACTTTTGGAAACTTACGGAAACCATCAAAATTATAAGGACTTAAATTGATGCGATTGACTCCTTTATTTTGGGATACTTAAGCATCCTATTAAGTTACTGCAAATGAAATCATTGAAATGTTATGAGTAACTTCTCTCCTGTCTATTTTTTGTTCACTTTATTTTAGCCTTTAGAAATAAGAGGCCCATACGATGTGGCAAACTTGTATCCTTTTCTGAGTTAGAAGTTGTTGAATTGTTCTTTTAGGAAACTTGGAATTTGATGTGATATTATAGTTTAAGATTTTTTTTTTAACCTTTTACTGTGAGTTTACCAACTAAAAATTTCAAAGACAAATTATATAGGTTGTGGAGAGCTCCATCCTTTTGTTTCCTGGGTTAAGGGTGAAATAGAAAAAGGGGAATGAGGGACTCTCATAAAAGCTTAGAGCGAGTCTCTTCACAGATGCCTGTTGCATTCAGGCTAGAACTGCTGGAGAGTGAGTCTCTCTTGGTGTGGCCAGGGGAGCTGGCGTTGGCAGTTGGGTTTCTGTTAGTCCCCTGTCCGTGGCTGACGCTGGCTTGAAAGCTTTAATGGCCCCTCCAGAGGACTGCTGTTTGGGCTGTCTGAAAGTGACGCCAAGGCCGCCGTGTCCACCAACTGCCGAGCAGTGCTTCTACATGGAGGTGAGCAAGTTCTTCCAACAAAAACACCAAATGCTCATGTTAGGAGCCAGGCTTTTTTAATCAGACAATGGAGCCTGGTTTACTTTTACCATCCTGCTCTGCAGAGCTCCTTCAGGCTCGTCTTTGCTCAGCCTGTTTTAACTCTGCCCTTCACTTCAGGCTTTACTTTGTGTACTCTGTGGACTGAACATGGTCTGCGTTACTGAGTGCTGAACGTGTCTTCCAAGCTCTGCATGTGTGTCCCTGTCTACCGTTTTCCTCCCTCCTCTCCGGAGAGGCACGCTTCCCCTGCGGAAATCATTGTTTGCAAGAACTGAAATGTGAAAAATTGATGCTAAGCCATTTATTCGGAACACAAAAACAGCAAATACATTTTAAAAACCCAACTAACAAACTCAAATAGTATCTTTTCACATTTATTACAACTCGTGATCCTTTTTCTCATTTGTTTTTGTTTACATGCTCAACTGTGTGCACACTATATATTTTTTACTCACATTTCATTTACATATGTCTACCTCTTCACCTTAATTCCACTACTTGAAGCCACTGAACTTCTTATTCATCAGATAAAAATTAAACTAGAAGTATTTGATATGCCAAGACTTCTGAGAATGAAAATTAGGTTTTATTAAAAGAAAAAAATTTAGAGGCACCTGAGTGGCTCAGTCGGTTAAAGTGTCCGTCCAACTCTTGATTTTGGCTCAGGTCTTGATCGCAGGGTCGTGGGATCGAGCCCCACGTCAGGCTTTGTGCTCAGCACGGAGTCAGCTTGTCCCTCTCCCTCTGCTTCTCCTGCACGCACTTGCGCTCTCAAATAAATAAATAAAATCTTCAAAACATACTGTCTCGGTTCCTTCCCTTTTTAAAAAAAAGAAAAGAAAAAATTTACACTTTGGATCTGTTTCATCTTTGTTCTCTCTGTGATTTTTAGCACTAGCAGTAGTGGTCACGAAGCAGTTTACTTGATATCCCCTAGATGAATTTAAACTTCAGAATAGGGCTACATTTAGACTAGGTTATTTGGCATATGAATAGGTGAGTTATTGAGGCCTTGTGTGTTGTGTCTAGATTTTAATGATCTGATCTCCACTTGGGAGAACTGATTCCTGTATTGACTTACCATAAATTAGATGATTTTGCTTCTGTTTTCAACATTTTTAGTTTGAGATAATTGTATTAGGTAGCCTAGACCCCATCACGTAAGCTCTGGGAATATCCAAATTAATTAGGACTTTATCAAGATTGTCTTGAAATTAGGAAATGGTTCATGCTTTGGTTGTTCTGCCATTATTTTTGTCTGTTTTAAATGAACATAAGGAGTCATCAAGGTTTTCGATAACAATTGGTGTTCCAAAATAGACTAAAACAAGAAAGGGAAACTAATAAGAAAATATAATGGGAAAAAGATGAAGTTCTACATTGACTTCAAAAAACTCAGCTAGTCAACAGAGGATATGTATAAAGCTAGGCTTTTATGGAAGCTGAACTAAAGGAAGCCTGTGGACTTTAGGTGGCATACCTTCCCCCTAGTGTGACAGTCCTGGTTTATGGCTGCTGTCCCTGCAGAATTAACAGTACATCTGGAGGATACATTACAGTTACACCGCTTTTAGCTGACAATTGGCATCAATGTTAGACTGCGGTGTGGTGGGTTCCTAAGATTGTGAATTCAGCCACAGGTTACACTAGAAGAAATAAAAGAATCTGAAGCAAGGGGATTCAGAGTCTCACCATTACCCTCTGCGTTGATGAAGTCCCAGCTGGCGTGTGTATCATCCTGAGTGCCCCGTTCCAGAAGGACAGCAGTGCACCGGAGTACTACCAGTCTGGAAGCCTTATCGTGGAATGGTTGAAAGCAGTGCTGGAATGGATACCTGGAAACAGAAGACTTAGGACACATAGTAGCTGCCATTCAACATGGGAAGGCTTGCTATAGGGAATCAGAATTAGGTGGGCCATTCAGGGTTCCAGAAACCAGTGACTAGCAATCCTAAGGAGGTTGTAGAGAAGGGACAGAGGAAGTTGGCATTTTAATGACCTTGAGAGAAGTTTGTCCCTTTGATAAGTTAAAACGCTTTAAATAACTGGCAAAGATTTAGTAGACTTGGTAAATTAATACTGATAAATGAGAAGGTCATGCTTATGTAACTCTTCAGAATTGACTTTGCTTTTATTTGAAACAAATCTTAACTGAATTTATATTTATCAAAGTTCTTTTGATTCTCTCTCTCTCTCTCCTCCCTAGTCCTTATTTCATAAGGACTAAATTTGGATCTTTTCATGGCATTATGGCCCTTAAGCTACCCCTCCAGCCCCGTTTCCCCCTAAATTTTTCACACTCCTCCTTCACACCAGCTTAATGTCCCCTAAACATATCAGGTTCTTCTTACTTCTCTCTCCATGCCTTGCAAAGGAATCCTCTCCTCTCTTTTCCTTTTTCTGTATTCCTAGTGTTACTTTTGTCACGATACCTTCCTGATTCATCCAGGCAGAGTGTCTTCTTATGGGTGCCTCCATTCCCATTACATTTGCCCCTAACGTGCTTTTATTTCTGTGGTAGGCATCTCGGTGCCCTCTGTAGATGACACAATGCCTGGCCCAGTAGTACATTTTTAGCTGAAATTGGATAGATTTAAGTTGAACTGTGCTGCCAGCCTGACCTAACACCTAATAATTGCCATTCTTTATCCATCGTCACCAGTATATGAGAGATCAATAAATGTGTGAGTTTGATTTTCTTCGTTCACTCAGCAAGTATTTATTGAACACCTGTTAGATAACCAGGCATTGCTGGGTGTTGATAATACAATACGATTGATTCTTCAGACGTACATAGATGACCTAGCGAGGGACCCAGATATGGTACATGCTGTAAAATGAAGTAAACACACGTCATCACCGTGGAAGCAATACAGTTGACTGTTGACCGGGCTGTCTTGATTCATCTGCCTTTCTACCATACATAAGACATCTGCTGCACCAAAGTCTGTGACTTGGGCCCTAGCTACATAAGATACATGGACAGACCATTCAAGAGAACCTGCCCTGCAGTTTTACCCTTGAGTAATCCCTTTAGAATGAATTAGATGTAAATGATATACTGATACGTGTATACATTGGGGACGAAAAGGTACTAACAGTGAATGACATCAGTATCCATAGCAGTTCATTCTGGTTTTATCATGTACTAATGTTGTAAGTCAAAGTAACATGGTGATGCTTATTAAACCACGTCTTTTTAAATCGTGTCTTAACTTAAGGCCTATGGTTTCCCTGTTTGTTTTATAGAAACTAGAAAAACTGCTTTTGGAATTATTTCCACAGTGAAGAAACCTCGGCCATCAGAAGCAGATGATGATTCTCTTCCAGCTTGCAAGAAAGCCAAGTGTGAGGGCTGAAAAGAATCCCCAGTGTCTGTCAATACTCCCTTCTTCCTTTTGATAGTCCGTCAGCCACAATAGAAATCAAACCTTTATGATGTACTGTTTTCATTCGGAGCTAGAAATCAGTAGTCTATAAAAACAATTTTATATTCAAGCCGTTAAAGTAACAAAACCTAGTGAAGCAGTAAAAAAGAAGACAGCCCACTTAATGAATTTAGATATACTTTAAGAGAAAATCAGAGATGAGTTTATTTTTTGTGTTAAGTGATAAAATAACAGGTATAATTGAATAAGATGTTTCCATATTTCAGGAGACTCTTTAAAAATGTTTCTTCTTCATTTAAAAATACATGCTTTTCGGGCACCTGGGTGGCTCAGATGGTTAAGCATCTGCCTTTGGCTCAGGTCATGATCCCAGGGTCCTGGGATCGAGTCCCGCGTCGGGCTCCCTGCTCCTTGGGAGCCTGCTTCTCCCTCTCCTTCTCTCTCTCTCCCTCTGTCTCTCCCTCTGTCTCTCATGAATAAATAAATAAAATCTTTAAAAAAATAAAATAAAAATACATGCTTTTCTGCTTTACTTGATATACATGGCTTATTATTTTTTAATCTTACTTTTCAAAAAGGGGTTCTTTTGAGGCCTATGAAGACATACTAAGGGGTTGGCTTTTAGTTGATTTGTTTTTGTTGTAAACCTCTCTCATTGTATTCATCAAGTCAGAGTTCTTTCTGAAAGGAATTGCTATAAAATTTGTGGAAGGAGAGAGAAAGTATGTGTAAAATTACACATGGCCTCTTCGTTTGCTGGTTCTTGCCTCCATGATGTTCTTGAAATAGAATTCCCTCCTTTGAGGTGGAAGTCCCTGAAAACCTAATATTGATTTTCCTAATAGCAGTATTAAAAATATCAAACCATTGTACTCAACCAACTTTGGAAATAATTTTTTTTTTTAAGTAGCAGAATCATTAAAATAAATGGAAGTAGCCTTTTTTGCGAATATCTGTATTCATGTTATGTTGATATAAAGAAATTAATTTCAGTGAGAAAAAGGACACCATTCTGAGAGAGAATCATATTTCTTAATTGTCATGCTTATTAATCAAATGAGAAAAATTGGCATTTTAATGGATGTAAGACATTGGATAAAACTTAAAATCCACTCCTGGTTTTAAAAATGATAAAAACCCATAGCAAAACACAAGTAGAATATCACACACACACATATGTATGTCCATATATATATTTATATATTGTATGTATTGAGCATGATGGTTCTAAAAGCATTTTTGTCTGACTTGCACTTGAGCAATTTGATGGATTAGCCGCCTCCGTGCCTTACGTAAAATGATGCCACGGCCATTGAGCCCACACAGGAGTCCTCCACTTGCTCGAGCACCAGCTTGCTTCTGCCCTGACCCCACTTAGATTCACCAACAGTTAATGTGCGTTTATTCACCAGTCTGTTTATGCCATTGTAGTTAGCATTGTAAAGTTATATACGTTAACTAAATGTTATAAAAACTGTTGCACTATGAAGGACTAAAAAGGAATTCCCAGGAAATCCAAGTTCATGCTTTTGAAAGGCTTGAAAAAGATGAGCCATTAAAAACCTGTCACAATAGGTGTGAACAAGACAACTAAGATTTGTGGGGGAGCCAGTAAAAATTCCACACTTGGATTGCTTTACTCAAGTCTTAAGTTCTCTTTCTTCTTTAAAGAGACTGGAACTCAAAGACAGCTGTAGATGTCCCATCAGAGGGTCCATACTCCCAAGAACAGATGCTGATCTTTATAGATCAGCACAGGAGTGTGCATTTATACATTTTAAACTCAAAATATTTAAGGGGACGTAAATTCAACTTTTTTTGATGTCCGACCTTAGTCTGCTGTTTCAATCAACTCGTTATATTATGTGTATATTTGCCTCACTTGCACCGGATATAATATTGAGGACTTACGTTATATTAGGAAGTAAAGTTATTACAGATGTGTCTGTCCTCTTCAAAAAAGCAACTGGGAAAAGATTAGAAATACAGGCCCTCCTCCATATATGCACGTTTGCTACATATTTGCTGTTGTGCTTGCTTTCTGTTTATGAACAGGTGCTTATCCTGTGGTTCAGAATAAGTGGGTATGATGGCTGGTCCTCAGTGAAGAGTGGCAGGTGGGTTTCCTTCTAATGTTTATCTTTCTTAGAACATGACGCATTATTCACTCACTGCAACAAAATGACAGCACCTTAAAAGTTCAGCAAGGTGGTCAGTTATAAACTAAAGACATAAAAGGTAATAGTTTGGTTAATAATTTGCTATAAAATGTCATTTTAAAAAATGGTACTATTCACAGATATAAATTAAATACGTAGGTCCTCTATGAAGAAAACTCTTTAATAAGGGAAATTAAAGAAGATTGGAAGACACTCTGTTTTTTGGATGAGACATTGTTCATCAAATTCTCCCCCAAATAATGAACTTAACAAAATCTAAAACCATCTGCATATATTAGTTTGTTTGTAGATATGTTTGGATTTGAATAGCTAGGAAATTTCATAGAAAAACAATGGGAGGGGGGCACCTGAGTGGCTCAGTTGGTTAAACGTCTGCCTTCGGCACAGATTGTGATCTCAGGGTCCTGGGATCGAACCTTCGTCAGGGCTCCCTGTTCAGCGGGGAGTCTGCTCCTTCTCCCCTTCCCTGCTGCTCATGCCCTCTCTCTCTGCTCTCTCAAATAAATAAATACAATCCTTTAAAAAAAACCAATGGGAGCGACTTGAACACCCGATATTCTGGAGTACAACAGGACTCTAGTAACTAAAACTGTAACTGTAACCAAGTAAGTGTGAAGACTAAAGACTGCGTGTAAAAATCTGAACTTGCTGGTACTCAGTACTGTGACCTTGCACAAATCAGATAATCTCTCTGTGCCTCACTTCCTTCATCTCTTCTCCCTACCGATGGCAGTATTGCAAGGGTTAAGTGGATTCGTATTTGTAGAATGCTCAAAGGAGGGCAAGTCCTACAGAAGGTACCTACTAAGTATCAGCTACTGTTCTATCATTTAGGAAAAAAAAATAAGTCTAATCCTTATCTTCTACCCAATGTACAGCACACTAAATTCAAGTGGATTAAAGAATTAATTTTTTTAAAAAGTTTGTAAAATACTAGAGTAAGGGTAGGTAAATTTTTTGTCTAAAATAACCCTGGGTTGGAACAAACCTAAGTGTCATCAAAGCCAGAATACATGAAAACTTGATTAATTTGCCTCTTTAAAAATAATGTTCTGTTAGAAAAGTACAACTAGTAAAGTACATTTGTAATGCATCTGATAGAGCAGAGGAGTTTAGCATCCTTAGTAAAAGCTTAAAAAGAAATTGTTTTTTAAAAACATGCAATTTGAGGGGCGTTTGGGTCCTCAGTCAGTTGGGCGTTCCACTCGATTTCGGCTCAGGTCATGATCTCAAGGTGGTGTGCTCGAGCCCTGCGTCAGGCTCCGCACTCAGGCGTGGAGCCTGCTTGAGGTTCTTTCTCTCCTCACTTTGCCCTCCCCTTCTAAATAACAAAACAAAACATGCGATTTGATAAATGCTGTTAGTGTCCACCAGATCCCTTTGACCAGCCTGGTGTACCCTTCCTCCAGCTGCTTCAGATTTGGGCACTAATGGTTTCACTCTCCCCAGAGCATTGCCTGGGCTGATGGGAGTCACCTTACCCAAAGATGCCTGGGAAGTTTTACACACACACACAAACACACGCGCGGGCGCCGCCTTGAGTTCGGCCCGTGGCCAGTGCCTGATGCAGGGTATTATCACCTGGGAAGTTTTACACACACGCACACACGCACGCACCGCCTTGAGTTTGGCCCGTGGCCTGTGCCTGATGCAGGGTATTATCACCTGGCCATCTGGCCTCCACAGCATGATTTATGCTCCTGAGCTGGGAAAAGGCTGAGGAGAGGCTTCTCCTGAAAGCACATCTTCGCCTGTTTCTTCTCCTGCCCTGTCCTATTTCCCTCATTGCCTTATAGAGCATGCTCAATAAATCACTAACACAAGAATCCTCATTTCAGGTGCCGCTTCCAAGGAACCTGACATAATGGAAAATTGGGCAATGAAGATTGATCCACAAAAATGCTCAGTAAACATGAAGATGCTGAACTTCTTTTAGTAATTGGGGAAAAAACACCAAAAGTGGATCTTTTGCTGATCAGGTTGGAAGATAAAAGATTTTAAAAATGAGAATTCTCATGATTTGGGGGAAAGACAATAACATAATAGAAGGGGTATAATTTGATACTAACCTTACAGAGTCTTCTGTGATGTGTTTCTTCAGAAATAGCTGGTTGGGTATAAAGGGTAGTGGGTAAGGATATTCATTGCAACAATGTCTAAAATAATTGGAAAATGGAAACAACCCAAATGCCCAATAATGGGATAAATATTCCATTATAAATTGAAACATAAGTGCCATTTATGAAGATGTCTAGAATAACTTGTTCAATTGAAAACAAAGTTAACAAAACTAAATGTATAGTGCCTATATGTAATGTGTACAGAAATAATCAGTACCATGAAATGATTATTGGGGATGTTGCTTCCTTCCTTATTCATTCCTGTGATTGGCTTAATACTTGGTGAGCAGGTATTACTTGCTCAAGGGGAGAGAGGGATTTTTTTCCCCTTGGTGGGTAAAGGCAGTATTGTAGATGACACCATTGGACTAAAAGTACAACCGGTACACACTTCGGGGGGTGGGGGGGTACTAAATATAAGTAAGGGTTAAGGATGGCTTCATGGAAGAAAGGCAGCTAACCCAAAGGGGCGGAAAGAGAAATTGTGCAGGGCTTTGGAGTGGAAGAGCTTTCCAGGGAGCTGACACAGTACAGGAAAACAGAAAACCGAGTGCCTGGATTTTTTAAGGAACTGAAAAGTCCACAGAGCTGAAATTCAGAGTTTAGTGAGGAAAGTGATGAGAAATTGATGAGAATAGAGAGTTAAAGGCAGTCAGATTTCAAGGATTTTTGAAAAATGTTAAGGAGTTTTCATCCTGAGGGAAATGGGAAGCCACTGAAGAATTTTAAAGAGGTAAAGGACTTGATCAGATTTGCATTTTAAAAAAATCACTCTGGCTGCAACTTAACGGACTGGTGGGAAGAGAGCCAGAGGCTGGAAGCCCAGCAAGGGCCATTTCAGTAATCGGGGGGACGCCGTGGCCATCTGAGCTAGGGCGGTGGCCTCTGGGGTGGGAGAAGTGGACAGACTGCAGAGCTACTTAGGGAGGATACTTGGTAAGAAGACTTGGAGGTCAATTAGAAGAAAGGAGGGAGGAAAAGAGAAGCAAGAACAACTACCAGGCGTCTGTTGGTCA